TTATCTGCTCTCCTGAAATGCAATGTTGTTCCCACTTCAGCTCCTTATTGTATTCTTAGGAAAATTAAATAATACAATGTGTAAAAAAAATTTTGAATAAAAATTTTTAACAACTAATTATTTAAACCAGAGAGGACGAGAGGGTCAAAAAGACTTTCTGTTGCTGTAGAGTGTTGATGCACATATGAAGGTTAATATAAGGAGTCATTTATTGATTTGACGTCTCTCTCTGGTCATTGATTTAACCCCTTAAACCTCATATCTGTGTATCAAAGTTGCATATTTAGGTGTTTTTTCTATGGAACTTCTTTTTCCACTGTCTAACCGACAACTCTGCTTGAAATCTTTGAAACTTCTCTATTGCTGGACAATAGCAAGTTGTAATATTGGATTAATTCAGGCATACATGTATGCTAAAACTGATGAAGACTAGTGATATACTTTATCAATTTTTTCTATTGTTTCCACTGATTTTACTCATTACCTCATATTTTTTGTGTATTGTTTTATGTACTGTATCTATTGCTTTGTGGTTGTGCTTTTTTTTTTCATACCTGCTCAGGGACAATAGATGCAAATTAGCCACTAGCTAACTCAGGTGCACTGTCCCTACCAAGCAGAAAAAAGAAAAGAAAGAATATGAAAAGCCCTGCCCTGCAAAGTATTGGTTCCTTGGGTTTGTTGCAGATGAAACCCCAGAAATCTGAATCAATGCGCTGCAGTTTCAAGGTGGAAATGTTCAGCCATGGCCTTTAACTGCTTATGTCACATATGATACGTCCTCCAGCAAATAAACAGCGCATGGACATTTGAAAAGGCTTAAAAACTTCATTTTCACTGGATAGGTGCAGTTATGCCTGTTCAATCCAAATGTGTTGGTAAGGTTTGTTTCTTTCTAAGTTCACATTCAGTGGCAGTGCTGCTGGACTGCAGCATATGGAAATGCCACAATTGCTTTTCAAGTACAAAAAACAGTTTCCATACAGAAAATTTCATCAGTTTTCTATGTGAAGCTTAATCCTTAAAAAGCATGTTTATCAGTGGGTTTTCTGAGCTCATTCTCTGTCAGCCCCTTTCCTTCTAAATTGCTTTAATTGATTGTTCAAAGAGATGAGTAAATAGACTAACGAACAGCAATCTTTAAAACAAAAGCGTGTGAATCGAATCCCCTGGTGATTCATCATGTGTGGGGGAGGCACACCGATAAAGATAGAGGGACAGGAAGATAGGGAGGGACTGACAACACAGAAAGCCAGGAGAGGAGGGGGCGGAGCAGGTTGAGGTCGCATCCACCTTGAAGGAGAGCTCCATAAACACATGTGTACACTCACACACACACACACTATGACATGCAATTTATGTCCCTCCCATTACTTACCTGCCTCTCTGGTTAATTTCTTTTGTGGTGCTGTCAGCCGGACCCATTTTTACTGGGCGCCAACACACTCGGACACACGTGACTGTAGCTCTGAGGTAGACATGCACGAATGGAGACCTTCAGCATCCTCCAACACGCTAGGAGCCAGTTACATAATAATGAATTCTGTCATTTAATTAGCCAAAAGCTGCACTAAGGCGGTATGACAGTGATGATGTGCATTTAAAAAAATCACTATTCAAAAATTTCCAGAGGAATCAAATGAGATTACAATGAATCACTGCTGGGTGGAAACACTGCATTTTCCCTGTGGCTTGGTTTAATGCAGATGCACGCTTTAAAATCATTGAACAGTTTATGATGTGTAATACAGGACAGCAAGCCTTCGCTATAGTTATAGTTATAAGTGCATCCGTCAGCGCCGGTTTATCGGATGTTTACCAGGATAGAAGTGCATTACAATAGAGGTCAAGTTTAACCGTTTCCAATTCAGTCGTTTTACACAGACTGTAATTTCTTGTGGGCACTTACCTCAAGTGAGTGTGTCCTCATCAATGCTCCAGTCAGAGGATTCACATTTAACAAGGACGGACGATGTGATTGAACCAAAAACTGAAAAGAGATGTTCTAAAAATGTAACTGCTTTTTAGCTGGGGTGAAGACCTGTCTGATCAAAGACACTGAAGAAGCTATTCATGCCTTTATTACCGCTCGCTTAAATTGTTGTAGTTCTTTGTTTCACTGTGCAGTCGTCTCCTAAGTGTCAACATGCAGCTGCTCATCATTTACTGGGAAGATGATCACATAACACCAGGATTTGCCTCCCTCAGCTGGAGGATTGTTTTGTTTGTTTGTTTGTTTGTTTGTTTTCATTTTAGATATTTTTGGCGTTTATTAGAAAGGACAGAGAGAGACAGGAAAGTGGGGGAGAAGAATCTGCAGCAAAGAGTCATGAGCGGGACTCGAACCCATGACGGCTGTTTCAGGGACTGTAGCCCCTATACATGGAACGCCAGCTCAACCAGGTGAGCTACAGCGGCGCCCACGGAGGATTGGTTTTAAGATTTCATTGCTAGTCTTTAAGATTTAAATGTGCCACCTTGTTTTGCAGAACTCTTACATCATGATACTCCGTCTAGAGCACTGACGTCAACCAAAACGATGCTATTTGATGTTCCAAGATGCATGCACAAAAATAGAGGCAATCAAGCCTCGTTAGTGGCTTCACTCTAATCTCTAGAGCAGTTTAACATTCAATCTAAGAACTGTTTGGACATCAGAAACCTTTAAGTTGTTGCTGAAGTCTTCTCTTTGGCATTTGATTAAAATAGAGCTCCACATCCTGGCTTCATCCAAAGTTGTATTATATCTTTCATTATTGCTATTTTGTTGGCATTTACTCTCGATGTGCCTTATAAATTGTGCCCAGATGTTTTGAAACAACTGTGGGTTAACTGCCGTAAAGGATGCAGGTTAACTTGGTTGACCCACATCCTATCAGAGCTGGCTTCACGCTGTTCACACACACACTTTGGCAGTTTAATTTATTTATTTAATTCCATAAAGCTGGCAAAGAAGAGCTGCTGTTGTGTAGTTAAGCTAGTTACCATGGCATCACTCTTTCTTTTGTGTGTGTGTGTAGACTGGAGCCTCTGAGGTTAGATGCATTAGCTCCAGTGATCAATAGAAAATGTACCATCTCTGGGTGTCCTGCAGCTTCAAGAAAGAGAGGCAGAGGGAGGAAATGAGGAGGAGGAGGATGAAGAAAGAAAAAAAAATGAATGCGTTTGCATGGTCACGCTTATGTTTTGTTGCCACTGTTTTAATGTGCTGAACAAATGTGAATACAATAAAACAAAACTGTAATTCTGGCAGCCCATCTTTGTTGCCATTAGCAACACCTGTACTTTTCCTTCTGAGACTTTAATTCTGATAACTTTGTAGATATGCCCTTCTGACAAGCAATCCCCTGAAAAATAAACCCATCAATTCCCCTCTTCTGCATATTGCATTGACATGCAAATGCTGTTGTTAGAATAGCCATGACTCACTTTTTTGTTTTGTCATGTTTATTACCTGGAAAAAGGCACTCACTACATTTAATGTGATCTTTTCATAAATAAACTGTACACATCAAACAGTCGCTTCAATGTGTCACAGGTCATGGTCATGGAAAGATTAATGCTATCAAATAAGAAGGTTACCAGAACAGTCAACATGTGTGTTATTCACCTTGAGAAATGCATGCAAAGCACGCCAGTGATACATTTAATACATCTGTAAAGTTCAAAGTAGGCTTTGAGTAGAATGCAAGTAGAGTTTTAGTGAGTAAACCTCAAGGAACTGCAAGCAAACACGTATCAGTGTGAAGATGTTTATAGCCATTTTGTTAGACTGTGTTCAAAAAAATAAAAAAAGAATACAAAAAAAAAAGCAACAGGACCTATTTAGTTCATATTTTACATTTCAATGGAAGATACAACTCAGGTGCTTGTCTGATAGAAAAAGGAGAAAACAGAGATGCAAACATGCTTTGTGAGTACAAAATCAATAGCATCACATTCAATAATTCAAAGTCATTTAAGTAGCCTTGATCTGCATGTGATCATATGAATGTCATACACAAAATAAAAAAAGTTCAAAACTTGTTTGTGTTCAACATTGCCGACAATCTTAGTACGCTTGTATTGTATGTTTGCCTGTGCTGATTCACAATTAAGAAAATGGTAGCAATCGTTACTGGAACACATGTCATCTACTGTAGAGAAGCAGTACAAAATATGGATAACAGCTGGACATTTCGTCTTATTAAAACAGACAGAAACATTATTACAGCTGCAGCTCCAAGCGTTCAAGTTAGATCATGTCAGTTAACTGCTATGGTTGTGTTTAAAGAACCATGCACTGGGAGTAGTTTGTTGGTTTTTTTGTTTTGTTTTGTTTTTTCAGAAGCTCTTAGCGTGTCGTAGCATTTCCCTCAGGCTACATTTTCAAAGCCACGTACAATGTAGGAATAATGTTACAAGCCATCTAGGTAAGTACTCACATTGTCTATTGATCCAGCAAAAACACAACCTCCCACCCTCCATTCATTAAACGTTGGAAGTCCTTTTTGTTGCAGGCTGCTGGGCTAAAAATAGCCACCACAGTATGAGATGACAAAGTGTGGATCGATAATGTCTCTGAAGATGAATGACATGAATCCAGCTCTCGAGTTGTCCGGCCCACATTGTTAAAAATTAAGATTCAGCATGAACAGATGGTCATTGCCCAAGTGGCTCATAAGAGCCTGGAGGGCTGAAAGACAACAGAGCTGAGCGAGACAGCTCCGGTGGAAATGAAGGTTCTCATGCAGCCCATTTCTACAGCAACATCCGTAATGAGGTATTTTAACTACAGCCTCTTCACTTTTATTAATTTTTGGCAAGACATTTTCTTCCCATAGCTATGGCACGGTGACTGAATTTCCTGGGAGCAGTTCCAATCTAAGCATAGGAAACAGAAAGGCACATTTCTTGACATCTCAAAGGACCGTGCACACTTATTGTGACTCAGTCTGAGCATCTTTCACTCTGTCTTGACATTCTGCATTTTTACACTGAAACATTTTTTCATTCGAAACCTAATCGTTCTCTTTGTCTTTGTCCCGTGCTGGTATGAACCCATTTAACTTGGTGCGATCCATCACATACTGCGACAGGTTGGTCATACTGGTGTTCCCCTCTTTCCTTTCCCTGTTTTCCTCATCGGGTTCTCCATCTTCTTCTTCTTCCTCCGTCCTCTCCTCACCCAGCATGGCGCTGCCATTGTTTATGCTTACACTCGCCCGCCGGACATCTTCAGGAATGTTCCTCCGCAGTTCACGGTTCTTGTTGCGTCTGGCCATCTTGGTGAGGGAGCCGAAGCGAGGGTTGAAGAGATTCTCCTCCGAGGAAGACGCTGTCTGTGGAGTTTGCTCGCTACCCTGATGCTCGTACGACTCACAGGCCCCCTTCAGCCTCAGGTTGTTCAGTTTGGTGTCGATGCTCTCCTGGGAGGAAGTCTTGAACCGGCCGGCATCCAGACTGGCGAACATGGCCCGTTTCTCTGGTGACAGCATGTCGAGGGAGTGAGCTCGCTGCTCCAGGCCCAGCTGACGGCGCTCCATGCTGCGGATGGTGGCGGCCCTCTGGAGCTTGTCATGGATCTCGACACTCAGGCGTCGCCGCGTTTCACGGAACTCCGCTCGTACGTTTGCCTTCCACTCAGCTGCATGAGCTTTGAACTCCCCAACCTACGACAAGAGTGCAATAATGAAAGGATCAGGAAGGGGTTTAGAAAAGGAGATGTACTGTTTTATAACTGATCTCAATCTTTTAGTTTACAAGAGATTCAAAAATACGATCCAAAGAATGAACCTACAGGTATTGTCAATATGGCAGGGCTAGAAAAATACAGAATATTAGTGTTACAGCTAAATTCACAGAAAATATGAGCACACAGCTGTTTTTGAATCTATTCTAAACTAATAGACTGGAATCAGTATTGAAACGTAACTTTTCATCAAAACATCTAAAATGACAAACACGACGCTAAGCTGTTGGCTGAGTGCATGAATCCTCTTCTGACTTAGTCAAATACAACCACATCTTGAACATCATATACCAGGATTTTAATCTGTTCTAAACTAATAGCTCGGGATCAGTTAGGAAGCCTTTTCTGACTTAGTAAAATGAAGCTACATCTTGAACAGCTAAAGCAACAGCAGGATGTCAGAGAACCTTCTGGAAAGGTCTGAGCGTCAACCAAAAATCTAAATGAGAGACCAGACAGAAGGGGCAGGAGTGACAGAGGCTAAAAAGCTTTTTATTTTCTACTCTTCTAATATAGACTTGACCAATAGAACCAGAAGAACCCCACCTCTTCTTTGGTCTTTTTGGACAGCACTCGGAGCCAGTCTCCAATCATGCTGAGGACGGCCGCAAAGTACGCTAAACCTACAAGGATCCAGAACCACACCAGAGGCTTGTACCACTTCATATATTCGATCCCACGGTTTCCACCTGGTGGAGAAGGAAGAAATACCAGCACAACCAGCAATTAGTCATCATCGTAAAACAAAACAGTGCATTGCGACTGAACAGCCTTCTGTCGTGTGACTACCTGCCACATAGTCTCCTATTCCCACGGTAGTGAGAGTGATCACAACAAAGTAGATCGCCTCCAGCGTGGTCCAGCCCTCGATGTGTTTGAAGATGACAGCAGGGATGGTGACGAAGACGATGCAGCCGGCCAGGATGAACAGGATGGCGGACGTCACTCTTATCTTTGTCTGGCTGATCTGTCTGTGTTTTTGCTGAGAAAACCAAATGCAAAGTGCTGTTAGACATAACACAAGATTATCTACGAGTGGCACATGACAGTCAGAGAAACAAAGCGGATGTGGTCATGTAGTCCATTATAAAACAATGGGATATGAATAAAACATGCATTAAAAAGCTGAAAATAGCTTGTTGTGTGAAAACTTTTGGAATTAAACTTTCTACACTGTTTTTTTTTTATACACTTGCAAATGCAGTAAAACCTCCAAGGCATCACAGCACGCAACCAAAGCAGGAACAATACACTGTAATACTTGTAACTCACCCTGAATATCTTCTCAACTCTCAAGATGCTTTTCACAAAGATGGTCCCCAGCTGGTCTCCGATCCCCGCCAACAAAAAGCCAAAGAGAGGGATGCCAAATATGGCATAAAGGATGCAAAAGATTTTTCCGCCTTCCGTGCTTGGAGCTATGTTTCCATAACCTGTCAAAACAGTGAAAGTAGAGAGAGGAGGAGAGAAGAAGGGAAAAAAACGGAGGGAAAATGAGTCAAGCAGCGTGACATAAAGGACAACAAAACAAAGATGCAGAGCAGGGCTGAGGAGAGGTGGTGAGTAAGATGAGGAGCAGAAGACAATCAAGACTTTCTTATGCAACATAATCAATGGAAGCTCTTATGTAATACCTCTCAGTTCCTGGAGCAGGGTTCAAACAAGCTCTAACAGAGACAATAATTAGGTTCCCTATAAAGCAAATTATGTTACCAATGACCTTACAGTGACACAAGAAGGTATAATGAAGATGTCTGGGAAACAGAAGACACAATATACTGTATATTTTGCTCTTCTTTAACATGCTGTGACCAGAAAATTAGCATCGTATGTGTCCCTTTAGCCATTTATTTTCATTTCTCTTTCATCTATTCTTTTCTTCGAGTTTTCTCACATCAAGCAGTTGGATCATGAATATTTCAGAGGTTTTTATTTAAATTTATTTAAGGATGTGTCAGAAATAGAATTTATATATGAAGAGTTCATTTACAAAAACAGATAACTCCATCTTCACAAACATTCAGAAAACTCACTTTCCTATCATCTGCCTGAGACAACATCAATCAAACTTAAGTTTTATCATGTCATGTCTACTGAGTCAAATCCACTCAATTTCAATTTGATCGATATTATTGATTGATATTATCTCAAGCAAACAACAACAAAAAAACATTTTCTGAAAATCTACAAAAATCGAGTTATCTGTTTTTGCAAATGAACTCTTCATATATACGTATATAAACCTAAATTTAATCCTAGATATCTTGGGTCTCACATTGTACCTTGTGATACTAGAAAACAATCTTTATCTGGGCAGTGAGGTAAATGAAGCCACTAAAAGCCGAATGTTATATTAATTAAATCTGTGATCCACACTATAATAACAGGTCAGGGACATTGCGTTTTTCCAGTCTCTTAAGCGATGGTTAATTGAGAGAACAGAGACGTTAATTTTTCAGCTCTGATGTTGCAATTATGGTTTCTAAGTATATCCAATGGTTTTATTAGATCAAAGCTTCCAGGCATCTTTTCACTTTCCTATTTCAAAGAATTGTGATCAGTCACAAATTATTTATAATGTGTTCTTGCAAAAGCAGCAGCAGCTTTTTAGGACGCAAAAAGACAGACAAGTTAGAGTAAAACCACATCGTCAATGCCAGCAGTGTCTGTTTTGTGAGCATTCTTGAGAACGGCAAGCTTCACGGGTCGTTAGATCCCACAGCGGTCGGGCGTTGCATCATTTAGCATCACCTCATGAGGGCAAAGCAATTTGTCAAACTCACCTGAGGGCAGTAATAACAGGGAAAGATTTACACATATTTACTGGGATTTGTAATAAGAAAACACCTTTGACAAATAGATCTATTGTTTCACCCCACTGTTAATGTGCGTTTAGAGGGCGCTGAGTGTGTTAAAATGTTATTTCATAATTTGTTTTTCATGTCGTTTTTTATTCCATGTAGCTGCATGAAAAAAAACCACCATCGCAGAAGGAAATTCCTATTGTGAAGTAAAATCATTTTTAAAGACTTTTGAAATAAGAAATGTTTATAAAACAAAGTTCAAAGTTACTTTGAAAATGTGAAAATAAAATTAATTTTACAACAATGAGGTAGGTTTAATGTTGCTGTGTAATCCTTTTAGAGATTGCTTGTTTATGAGTTTTACACTTTATTCGTACGATTATTTATTTAATAATGACCTTTTGTGATTTATTAAACACGAAACACTTTGAGTAAAAATGTTTTTAAAAGGCTTATAATAATTTGGGCAACGTTTAGCTACTTCTGCTCATCAACATGGGACGAGCAGAAGCAGCGTCTTCGCTCTCCCAGTATAATATGATCTACAATTACAGGGCAGCATCACAGCACTTAGTAACTGTTATAACTGTACATCTAGGAAAGCCTTGATACATGTAATGTTGTGCATGTTTTAGTTTTTTTTTTTCATTATGTGGTTTGGAGTTTGCTTTAACTGACTGAACAGAAGACGAGGGTTGGGACCAAATGCTTAAATTTTTTTCCGGAGTTTGCTACAATTTATGGAACAAAATGGGACAAAACATATATATACATATATATATATAATTCATCAGGATGCTTTAACACATAAATGGGAATTGTACTGGCTGTCGACAGCAGCAGATGTAACTCGCACTAGATAAAAAAAAAAATATTGAAAGACCAATTATTAAAATCAAGATTTTTTAAAATTTGTTAAGTGGTCCATATGATGTTTTTTATACGTATCATGAGAAAACTGTACAATCACCACCCTAATCAAGCTTTTCTGCCTCAGCACTGCAGTGTACTAACCACAGCTTCATAAACATGGATTCTGATAGTCAGAGTTTTAAACAGAACAAATTTAAGAAACCAATCTTGTCAACAGCAGGGTGGGATTTTCTGTCATTATTCTTCTCCATAATTCAAACTAATTCTAATTCAAACATGTATGACTGAAGAACTCCAATATTACAATTTTCATTGAGTGTTTTAATAGTGTTTGAACATAGTCGTTGGTGTGCTCGAGTGGGTCAGAGACAGAGGCATGGATAAGCCATCCATGCATGCCAAAGCAGGCAACAACGTGGAGTTACATCTAACAAGCCATTCTAAGGCATGAAGGAACTGTTTTCATTGGGGAAAAAAATGCTAAATATGTCATCTTAATGAACAAGGATGGTTTTCTAGGGGTTTAATTTAAGGCCAATAGATAGAGTTCAAAGCCGTTACCTATGGTTGTAATGACAGTTCCAGCAAAGAAAAAGGCACTGCCCAGGTCCCAGTAGCTTGAGTTGTACGATGTGTCTCCGATAGGCCTCACTCCTGCACTCACAGCGTCTATGGCATGCTGGAAAGATTGAAAATGTGTTAATTACAGTGACAACAAAAGCAGGTATTACAGCTACACAGCAAAAACAAACAGAGATGCACCATTGGACAGAAAAGCAGCCAAAACACTTCATGGCACCTGCCTCCAATTTTGCCACTGAATTCTCTTACAAAGAGGAAACAAGAGCTATGATTGGATGCCAGCTCATCTGATGGCAACTCAAGAAACACATGCCTGCTTTGATTTTCCAATACAGAGTCCTGACTGCGTGAGCAGAGAGAGTAATTAACCCACCAGTGTTTGTGTGTATAGGTTTATGTTACGTGCATTTAATTATTGAGGAGTGACCCAAGTATAAGTATCTCCAGCATCAACATGAAAACTCACTACCTGATAAAAGACAACAAGAAAAAAAACCCTAAGAAATCCCAGGAGTAGGTGAGGGATGTGAGTCGAATGGGGAACTGGGTTATTCTGAGGCTGTAATAACAGGCAGGGGAGCTATGTGGATCGACTTTGTGATTAATTCAATCATTTCAGTGTAATTATATCTCAGTAGAATTTTATTATATTGTGTTACTGTTTAACAAAATGCTATTTGTCTAAATTACTGAGTCCAAACTAATTAGAAACTCACACAATAAGAATTGCAATGAGCACCAATAAGATTATTATTATTAGGAATATTTTGCATGCATTTATTATGACTCTGGCTCTAGTTATGGATCTGCACAACAGCAATTCCAATCTTTAAAATGTGAGTTTACAACAAACACAATGTCTTCCTTCTACATGCATAATGTATGTCTGTTACTTGTAGCCAGTTTAAAGTTATACTGTAATGTGCAAAGGAAGATATTTAGTCTGTTTTTCTTTGTGTGTGTGACTGTATTTGATTTTTTTGATCCTTCAGATTTATCTTGCAGCGTTTTATGGATGTTTCTGCCCCAGAACAGACTTTTTTATTTACGTAATTCACACTCTGGAAAAAAACACACATGTGCAACTAATGTTATCGTGCAAGCATCCTGTAATGTGTTACTATGCGCATACAAATCAAACTAATGCCTGAGAACCATTCCATAATTCATCTTTCACTGCTACTGTTCAAGGTTCTGAACAAACATGTGGCACGAGATGTGTTCAATTTACTCCGTGTCTGGCTTTTCAAGTGCGGACAGTTTTCCACTCCATCCGCAGATTAAACCCACGTAGACGTTCAGTTGCGGTTCAAAGATCATTATCTCGCTTCTCTTCAGCTTCAACCTTTTTCCTTCGTCCATCAGTTTTTCTAAATCCCCCCGACCGCCTCGCGCCTGGAAAACATTCACTGCATCATTATTCTCACTGATGGCCTCCTGTGCTCCATTACACCGCCATGAAAAGTTATTCTGGTATCTTGTATTCTTTCTAATTTCCCTGTTTATGAGCATTTTGTGGGAATATGTCTGTGCAGATTCTCAGTCATCGAGGTCATGATAATCCCAGGGGCTTCAGTGAACTTCTCATCTAAGAGGTTTCTTCAGCTCCTTTGTGAGAGAAGCATTTATTTTTGCATCTATATAGAAATTTGAACTATAGACTAATGCCTGTGGGCTCCATTAAACATTGCTGCTGACATGAAAGTGGCTGTGAGGAATGTCTTCTGTCAGAAAAAGCTTCAGTACCTTTACCAACATTCCTATAATGTTTATTACTTCTTCATTCAGAGCAAACCCCCCAATCCATCTGTGCAGGCTTTTAGTGAGATGCGCGTCCATATAATAAAATATGCATCAACTCTCGTGACATACATTTCAAAGCAGACAGAGAGTCGGACCATTTCTGAACGCATCGCCGCACATGCCTACTCATAATCTTGCATGTGATTACCTCAGCTCCATCAGCGCAGCCCCCCAGTGAGACCGATTTTGTATCTAAAATTAGCCAATTGCAATAATGCTATTTCACATGTTTTAACAGCTACTTTATAGGGGAAAAAATCAAAGTGGTAATTATATAATAAAACCCCAAATAGCCTCATTCTGGAGTCAAGGGAGAGCTATAAATAGCTGCACAATGTATCTGAATTCTTTATGAGGGAGTCTATTTTTGTCTCGTGCCTTTTTCACAGCCAAGTTCATGCTGCATTAGAGATGTGAAAAATCCTCCTTTCGCACTTTTGAGGCACGAGGACAGCGCCTTTGTGTTGCAGCACATTAATTACCGAGACAAATGGTGTTTTTGTTTCACACACCATCTTCTGTTTGGATTTCACTAAGGAATCAGCACGCAGACATTCTTGCAGACACGAAATTGCCACCAAGCGCCCGTGACAGCTTGTGTGCTTTCACATTCTTCACTGCAGGATCATTAGAGAGCAATCAAACTCACTGCAGATTTTTATGCTCTCAATGTGCCTTCCTGCCCCACAGCAGGTGACGGCAGTTATCCAGCCAGCATGATGCTTCACTCTCTCCTTCACCCAAGCTCGCTGTGACTCGGTGCCAAGCACTCTCCTCTGCAGCACTTTCACCATGACTAATATCTATAGCTATACCTTAATCACCTTGAAGGCTTACAGCGTATCGCCATACGGGGGAACTGTGGCCCATCACAGATACGGTGGGTTTGGCTTTTTCCAGCATGATTTCTATCATTTTTAAAGAAAATAATCTGTGCCGGTATAAATGATGAAGGTGTAGGCTGCATGTCCTGACGTGGTTTTACTGCAGGTGGTTTAGTCAATACAAAAGTTTATTTGTAGAAAAGTGACTCATCAACAAATGGGGCATGACTGGTGTCAATAACAGCATGGCTTCACATCGCACCACAGCGTGAGTCATCCATACGGCACCGGAAAGCCAATTAGGTCTGCTGTCTCTGTGGGCACCCAGTGGGTGTGTGGACAACACAGATACTGAGGCAGACGAGAGGAGGTCAACAGACATGCCGAGACCCAAGCTGACACACATTACGTCGACACGCTGTGGAGCACACCTTAACGAGAGCTGCCGCTGTAAAATATCTCCTCCTTCACGCACATACATGCTACCCAAGGTTGCCATTTTTTTCTGACAACTCCTCCACCGAGCAGTTTGACAACAGTGAGTCACCACTGCTGTGTCCCCACAGAAGCTCTTCTAGCTGAGTGACAGGCTTGACACAGCATGAGCAGACCGATAAAGGGACCCGTTAGAGGACCAGGCAGACTTTTTGATGGAGAACTTGTGAAGCAGAGTGTCCTGAAGGCCTTTTCTTGAGATAGCAGGAGGAAAAAAATGGTGTTATTTGTCAGCGTGAGCTTGACACATGGCTTGGTATTTGTTATTTCTGCAACACTTAGTGTGGGAATACCTTCATAACTCAGTTGAGTCAGACATTATCTCTTCTGATTTACAGAAAATGACATTTTACGGAATACGGCAGTTAACTGTCTTGATCAGACTCAGCAGAGAAGAAAACGCGCTCGTATTTGTACAGTAAATATGAATCTACCACCAGTATCTGCTCAAAAACTGGAAGCTGGTTGAAACAGCTCGGCTATCTAAAGGTAAAAAACAGCCTAAAAGCTCTGACTGTTTAATCTGTACAAGTCAAATATGACAAGTTTATGACAGTTTAACATAAACCACAAAACAACAAATATGTATATTGTTCAAAACATCAAACAGAATTAGTCAGATGTAATATTGTCAATGAACTCCTCAGCTTTCATGTCTCATAACGATCACATGTTATCTCACGTATCTGAAATCTGATCATTTGTCCAGAAGACTGTCTGTGATTCAAGCTGCTGCTGCTCGTACTTCTGCTCCGAGCAGCAGGAGTTGTGCGACTGCTGGCCTGTGCAATGAATAATTGATTCCCTCCGGACCCCAGGCACACCATGCTAAAGGTTTTAATTTCCACACTTCTCTTCTTAGGAAATACTGTCATTGATTTCTTACAAATTCGTGATAGCACTTTTGAAAGCTCAAAGGTTGAGCACCGCAAGGGAGGAAAAAACAAGGATGCTGCTTTGAGTAAGAATAAAAGAACAGAGGTGGGCGTGGAGAAGGAGAGAAATAGATATTCAGTCCACTACTCACCAGAGCAGTGTTGAAGATGTTAACATCAAATGAAGGCATTCTAGTGGAAAGTGGAGCACAGCAAATGCCATTCGGTGGGTTCTCTCTTTAGGGATATTTCAAGCTTAAGAGAATCAGGGGGGCCCACTGTGGCACTAATGCGAGTCTTGTCTTTACTACTCTTAGATTACAAGTGAAAAACATGAAAAGCACATTATTTCATGAAGGTTCTTTTTGCTCTCCTGACATCAGCGTGATGTTCTTTCAATTTCTGCTGATCACTTGCTGATGTTGGTATTTCAGCTCTTGCTGTGATTCAGTTCTTTCGATTGTTGTTATTGGCACAGGATGTCCACGTCTTCTTCTTCCTGAAAATCTGAAGTCCATATAAAGGAGTACGAGATTGATCCTTTTTTCATCTGTCCCTGCACCACCTCACAAATCAAACTTTCCACTCAGCAAACCGCTCAGTGGTAAGTCTCAAATCATTTTCCAATTCCGTTTCCAGTTGTACGTGTCAGTTTGATGTAGTGACCTTAAAGCTTGACCTATGATTCTGGGTGCGATGCCAGAGAGCAGCGTGAAGCATTGCCTCACTCTGTGTTATAAAGCAGCTGACGGAGTAAAAGGACACAGTAAAATGCACTGTTAAGTTGCAACGTGATGCGAATGCTTCTTTTTGTCATTCTGCCTGTTATCTGGTCCGATGAACAGGAGCAGGTATTGATTGGGAACAAAAGTTTGGTAAAATGTGGAACACGGTACGCTACAGGTCAGCTTAAATCAACAATATGTCACAGGTTATCGGTTTTTAACGACAAGTGACTGTGCACAAGTTCGTATTTTGGATATTAAATAAATAATGATGTTTTCTCCTTTATAGTCACAGACTTTGTCGGGGTTTTGTGTAGATTAGTGCATATAAGAGGATCACTGAGACCCTGAAATCCTGGTTCTTCAAAGTCCTGATTTATAATAACAAACTGCCTAGAAGCTGGTCACACACAGTTCTGATAGAAAACTGAAAATCTTGGCCTCCAATATTTCTTACAATAAGTACAACCCTGCTGTTATGGCCATGAGCTAGTTTCCTTATTTAAAACGTGTGGGTGTTGTTAAAGCAGCACTCTGGAATTTCAGACTGTACTAATACATTTATTACAGAGAGTTTAACTTTGTTATTTCTGAAAACAGCCCACTACCTACTGCAAGTCCAGAAACTAGGTCTTCTTTATCAGCATTGCTTTTTCTTTGCGCACAAACTGAACAACAACAAAATCAATGTTGAGCTGCAATTACAATTCACCATTCTTTGCTGTGAATGCAGCATAAAGGTCATTGCAGCCAATCATTTTTGAAGAGGATCAATGTCATATAGGCAGAAGACACTTGATTGGCTTTTTCTCTGTGATTACATTGATGTGCTGTTATGTAATATATAAAACTGAACGTACTGCTGTGGTGTATCTTCCAACAGGTGTGAAGTGTCATTGAGAATAATGGGTATCTCTGCGGTGACCCTGGAGTTATTATCGTGCTTGTGGCTGGAGGATGGATCTGTTGGGCACCAGCCAGGGTGCAGATGCTAGAGAGCCTGTCATCTGATGGTGCTTTAGACACAGTATAATCAATTTATCATCTCATCCACATCGCGAGAAGGAACCCAATAAAATGGCTATTTTGAAAAAGTCAGAAAACAGGCATTATTATTGCTCTGAAAACCTACTTGTGACTGAGCTGAGTGTAAAATCTGAACGAGTGAATGTGTGCAACTCACACACATTCATGTTTAGATATCGAGTACAGCTAAATAGTGTAGCACAATGACAACAGTCCAGGATGACAAATGTGACACAGACACTACAGTTTGTAAAAGGAAAAGATGGAAACTTCTCTGCAACGACTGGATTTCAAAGCAGTAGAGTGACTCTGTAATGGAGCTACATTATGGATGACTGTTGTGAGTTTGACAACATGTAACCATCATGCTCAAGCACCTGCTCTGCAGCAACAGCACCAAAACTACTTCAACCGAAGCACTTACACAACTCAAAGTTCTTTACAAGCCTTTCTGAGTTTTCAGCTGCAATTCATCGTCTTAATTATGGATGAAACGGACAAAGATTAGAGTAACTCATCAAATAAGCATCCAAACATATGCACTTATTGTGACGTTCCACACGTGAGGAATCCTGATCTGGTTGCAGCTTGGACAGCTAAACCCATCTGAAATTCAACATAAAGCTCGATGATTAAGAGCAGCTGCAGATCCCAGATAAGTCGCTTTAGGTTCGTTACTACGAGTGACCCCTCCCTCACTGTCACACTGTTTTTACGTTGTCATTTGATGCATTACACATATTATAAAAGTCTGCGTTTAAGTTGTGCTAAGTTTAGGCTAGTTTGTCATAAATACACATAATCTAAATGAGACCAATTTTAAATTCCATATTAAAATTTTTATTCTATTTCAGATTAAAGGCCTCATTTGCTGAAAGGATGGAAATGAAGTGGAATTTAATCTTTTCAGGATCATGTGACAGGCTAATGAAACGGGAATTAATTACCGCAAGATCTCCTAATTACCCCTGATCGCCATCTAAAAAAAACTGCTGCTATAAAGGTCAGTCCTCTGACTTTCTCCTTTTATCAAACACACTGAATAGAGTGACATTCAGCATTATTTATCAGATCATTTTAGTATTTTTTTTCCTATCTTCATATCCTCTTACAAACGAATCTCTAAGCTGCCAAAACAGCTAGAAAGAGGAACCAAGAACACTGTTGACAACATTTTAAATCTCATTTCCACTCACCTTGATGATGGCATCCAGCTCGCTCGTCGTGACACACGGGTGTCTTTCCAGGAACGAGGCCTTCTCCAGAGTGATGCTGGTCTTCTGGTTGCTCTCAAATGGCTGTTCCAGAGCCCTGAAGGCCAGTCCTCCACAAACCAGGTAGAGAACAACCACGATGAACACGGCAAGCACGGTCTTCCACTTCATTACCGAGTGCAGCACAGCATTCGAGCCATCCCAGCTGGCGTCCATGCTGGCCACCACGCTGGCAGACCGGGAGGAGATGGACAGGCGAGGCAGCGGGCAGTGACCATTGACCTTTGGGTCGCAGCCCATCGGGTTCTGCATGGTGGCCACACTAGCCTGGACTAGAGTAGACTTCACCATCCCCGGCTGGGCCTTTTTAGGGGGGACCAGGTTGGTCTGGACCGCCACTGTAAAAGAAAGTAAGAGGAAAGAGAAGACAGAATAAATACATGTTATTTACCTTTTTATGGGAAGATATCAAGACAGAGAAAGTTATTCTTTGTCTTGTGAATGTTGTCGGCGAACAAACTGTCAGCTGCTGTTTAGTATGTGATGCTAAAGGCTTTATGGATACATTGAAATGACTGCACAGGGACATTTTGGTCATTTGCTGGCCTGATTTCTTTCAGGATCCCTGTAGGTGTCATTTGTCTTGGTCTCTGATAAACAATCTGTGGCACCAGATAATGAGAAAGTTAAAATGAATGTGAATTTAATAACAGTAATTACGCCCACCTTTTATCTTTCTTATGGCATACATTTCACATCTAATAAAAGCAAGGGGATACAGCTTTATGCAGACATAAACATGAGCTCATCACAGCGATTAAAAACCCTATTACCTCCTGTATGAGGCCATGAAAAGCAGTTTCTTTCTTTGACTCTGGGCCAGTAGACAAAGATAGTCTGCAACAAGACTGTCACCTCAACAATTTTCCATTCTGATGATACACCGCAAAAATGTTTAAAAATTATTTTATCACTTTTTACTGTGTTTTTTTTTAAATGCTTACTGCTTTTTCTTTTGTTTTCTTTTCTTTTTTTAAACAGATTTTTCCAGTTTAGTAAATTCAACAGATAACGCTGAGTAAAATCACAACACTAAAGACCCATGTATATGTTAACTGTAAAAAATAAATAAATAAATAAAAATAGGCCACAACTGTAATTAACATCCACATTAATATATATACTTACTTTAGTTTTATTTTATTGGTAATTTGGTGTTTTACAACATTTGATAGTGAAATTACACTATTTTTTCTTGTGTTTAAATGAGCAAAGATATCATTATTTTAAAGACATTTGACATTATTCGGGGAAACAAAGTATATTAAGGATTGAAAAAGGTAAGTCATTGTAATTTATTTTGTATATTTTCTCTGTTATGCTACATTAAAATCCAGTAAAACTCATTGACTGTAAAAAGAAAAAAACACAAATACACAAAAAAAAAATAGGTAGAAACTGTATATTGTGTCCACATCATAAATTTGCATTGTTAAAAACAGTAATTTGTTCTTTTACATTGTGTGATTGCTGTTGTTTTCATGGTTTTGAATGTTATAGTATTCCACTGTTGTCTAACTTTTTCACATTTTTTTACAATGTATGTTTTGGGTTCTGCACATTAAAGCCATTGCAGATGGGTTCTGAGAAATAAAGCCTCATACGTCTACAGTTCGTCAGCTCCTGCCGTAGAATATCTTGACATTAAACATCACTGATGGGAAAAACAAACAAAAAAAAACAAAAATGGAAAAAGTGAATCAGCAGCCTGAAGATCACACAGATGGGACACAATCAGACAAGCACTGAGAAATACTCCTCTGACACCCCTTACAGTAGCCTGATGTTAGGTGGAGGTGAAAATTGAGTTACTCTCTTCGCAGGGATGCAGGATTCAATTTTTCTAACAGGATATGAGTGAGGGATAAGTGCCACTTTAGGCCATTGTCTTTTCTTCTGGGTGGGTTTTATAACAAATGTATATGTGCTGCAGCAGGTCAACCATGAAGCAAACAGCACCAAGGAGGCAGCCAAATTTAGATTCCCTTAATGTATATAAAACATTGTATAAGCTTTTCAGAGCTCTGGCCTTCACCTCTGACGCCCCCACTTCTCTCAGATGGGAGTGCACGGAGTGCCTCGGAGCCATGGGTGGAGCCTGTGGTCTGTAATGATGCAACCCTCAAAGGTAGGAAAGAGAAATGGATTTGGTTGACGGAGGCTCCCTTTTGTTTAATGGGATGAGTATCACTTATTGGATATGGTAAGATAAATGTACACACACACACACACACACACACACACACACACACTGATGATGAGTCAAGGACGTCCAGGAAGTGTCTGACTCTCTGATCCAGGAGCTATGAATCTAGTTAGTTAATCCCTTTATCATGAGTGAATCAATAACAGCAAAGTGATGCCATAAGCTTACAGGCAGGTGCAAAGCAGCTCCTTTCAATTTACAGTATATGTCTTTAAGGGCGGTGCCGAGTTATTTTTAGAACATGAGCTGATTTAGCAAATGAAGACTGAGAAGTGAAAGATTATTTGATCAGTAACTGATGCGGTATTTGGGAGGTCATTGTTATGGATGCAGCAGACCATCGACTGGTAAATGAATTGCAAATAGTGCCAAAAGAAGTCCATAACTTCTCTTACTGAGGCGTTAATTGCTTTTCATCTCATCTCGTGAGTGAGGGAAATTGAATAAATGAGCTATAGAGCAGCAGAGCAGCGGCAGCTATAGGGCAGAAAGCTGCATGTCGCACATTTACTCACTTCAGTCCTATTTAGGTGAGAAATAAAAAATAATAATTACACATAAAGACTATGAATCTATAATTTAGAGCATGCAATAAAAGCCCAAACTGAAATGAACACAATTTGGTTTGAATTTCACATTTCTGAGGCTATGTGCCATTAATGTAAAATCCATTTCCAGCCACTGAAACAGCTTCACATTGATTTTTGCAAATTAAATAAGGCCTGAGTGGAAAGCAGGGCTTTTTATCTGATAGTTTCAGATGCTCTCTCTTAGCCCTGACTCTCTCCCTCCAGTATTTCTAGCCAGCGCAAAGCAAATGTACAAGGGTGCTCAGGTCCATAATATAGGTGCTCCTCACATCAGCCTTAAATATGTTATATATATAAATATACATCTATGTATGTATACGTATGTGTGTGTATATATATATATAAGAATAAAGAGGATGAATTTGTTGAAGCACACTTGTGGTGGCACTCTTGTTTTTGTCAACATTTCAGCGCGTCAGCTTCGTATTATGTGTGTGCATGAGATGAACAAAACCTCCAAACTAAGTTTAGTAATAGTAAACATGAAGGAGAATTTGAGGTTGGCTAAGTTTGGCTCTTGGCCCAGTTATTCCAGAAGGTACTGGACAGGTTGTAGGCGTTAAAATTCACCAGCTGAGCCTCAAAATGAAGCATCAAGTCACCCTGAATAACACATGAGAACCAGGAGTTTCCGGTAAAAATCTGATGTCAAAATAAAACGTTTGCTGCTGAAGTTGAGATGCTTATTCATCATCACACATTTACAGTGTATATTTCAGTATTTTTCATTTCAATAGAAGCTGAAGCTCAAGAGAAGTTACTGTTATTGGAGCTTACAGAGGGTGTAGAACAGCTCTTTGGACAGGAGCGTTTCATACTTGTATTTTGACAACTGTTTCAGTTTCACTATGGTTATTTCTGCTCACTTGACACTATTGAGCTTCGCATCCAGCAGCGTTGTATTGTAGCCTACAAGGATGGAGAATAGGAAAAAAAAAAAAAAAGCTTTGTCTTCTAATAACGGTCCTTTTGTACTACGGAAAAAAGCGGATTTTTTTTCTTTTAAATAATAATAAATAAATAAAAACATGCGACCAGCAAATGTAAACTGTTTAAATCGGGGAAAGATGTAGTCTGACGCGATTGTGTCTCATGTTTCTCCACCATGAGATGTTACTGAGATCACGAGTAGCCTCCCATTAAATGATAAATATCTAAAGTTAATGAGAAAGCAGGATTTACCAACCTTGTTCTGGGTCCCAGTTAACTTGTTTCCTCGGGTTTTCTATTGGAAATTTCATCTCTGTTTTTGTTCCCAGTCAAAACGCCAGCAGTGTAAAAAATCTATTCAGTGCGATTGCCAAATTACACAATAACACAAAAATCACGACAAATTTCTCTCCCGCATCTTCGACACACCAACATCTTTGCGTGGAAGTGGGTGTAATTTGTAAAGAGGAATAAGCGCGTCGCAGAACCGCATTGTCTGCCCTCCTCGTACCCCCTCCTCTCTTTTTTTTTTTTCTCTCCACCTCGCCTGGACGCGTGTGTCGTTCGTCTGACAGACTGAAATACTTGTGACACCTTTTTCACTGAGCTGTCGGTCCAAACCACATCCCATCTCACACTCAGACACACACACGCCACTGGTCCGGTCCACAAACACAACGCGTCAAACCAGGCAACTTTACGCACGCGTTACACCAGGCAAGCGAGAACAACGGGAGATGATGTTCTCCTCCCTTCAGTAGCCAAAGCGCACCACTCCACCTGCCTTTACAGGAAATGTGCATCGAGCTTTGCATCAGCTGCATTTTTACTAATTACTGGAATCGATACTCACTCTTGTATTTTTGCTCCAAATGGGGTTATTCTCTCATCGCTTGGCAACCGGCGACCGAGCACATGGCGCTGGAAGGCAAGTCAGGGATGTAAAACACCAAATCAGCGGCAGACTTAAACCATTACATCATTCACATGTATGGGAAACTGAATTATTTATGAAGTTCAATTGTTCAGACACGTCACCGCCTCCATCCCGTCAAACTCCTAAACCGTGAACTGTGTCACATGGTTAGGGAGACAGTGGGGTCTTTTTTTGTTTGTTTTTTAAGTATAGGCTGACTTGAACATTTTTATGGAATGTTAAGTAAACGACAGCTTATGAGTACCGAAGAAATATAACCAAATTGAAAGAGTTTTTTTATGGTACAATAAAAGTAGTAAAACGATCATTGTCTATTTTCATTTATTATATATATTATTTTTTATTTTTTAACAATTGTATTGATTTCAATAGACAGTTAATTCACTTGTAAAAGCCTAATACTTGATTAAATTATAATATTTTTTTAAAAAAGGTTGATCATGGTCTTTTTTGTTTCCATCATGGTTACACTACTGCTGCACCTATACAATGATAGTCACAAACCTATCTGTAATTAAAAGTGCACAATAGTAAGTATTTGCTATTATGTTTCAGCACAAAAACACCAGAATACAATACACAAGACAAACCAGGAAAGCAAGCACATTCTGCAGTAGTGAGGTTAGTTGAAATGGATTCAGGAAGTAAAACAGCATTAAAAAATAAAATTAGTGGTAAAACTGCTTAAATGGCTGTAAAATTCAGCATGTGGACATTAAATATGGATGAAACTAATGCCATTATTAACTGCTTTACAAAGAGCAATCACTTGTTTTTGTTCTACTTGTGCCTTTCCTGCTATAGAAAAACAGTAAAAAACAAAACATAACAACAACATCAAAACAAAAAAGACAAAATGAATGAATATTTGTGAATAACAAGCTCGGTTACATTTATTCAAACAGCAAAATGACATGTAAAGTGTAAGACTGCCTTAAAGAATTAAACTGTTGTATTGTGCCCACATACATTCAGCATATATTTCTGACTGAATTGTCATTTTACGTGGAAAATCTGCATATTCAGAGCTTTTCAGTTTTGCAAAATTTAAAATACTGGTTTTACTCTATGTTTACAAGATGCCAGTTAAGTCACATCAGAAACCATAACGAGCTTACATAAAGTTATCATCTAATGTCATTCAGTTTTCAACTGATACATTCATTCATCAGTTTGTGTCTGTTAAGCGGATATTGATACTAATAGGAATCATCCAACTGTGGTCAAGGCAAACAGTCCAGTCACGTGAGAAAATGTGTTCATAGTCACATTTTGCAACACTACTGTTTAGTGTTTCACAATTCTTTTCACGCAAATGACGCAAGGGGTTAAAAGGTCTCTCAAACAATACAAGGAACATGGCAGAATTAACAATATGATGCTGACAGAATGGCCTCATGACCAAAATGCAGTCACTTGAATCATAACTTCTATTGACTGCAATCTGTTTTCCCACATTGGACAGTTTTTCACGCTGCCACATTATTGTAAATGAAGCCGCTGAGGCCTGTGGTTTTAATGATAACAGCGCACCATAGTCAGGTCTTATTGTGCAGTAATAAAGAAAAGATAATGGCCTTGGTGCATCTGGTCGGTGTCTAGGACCCTGGGGAGCATCATGCAGATGCTGAATTAATAATCACAGTCTTTGCTCTTATTAGTTACATGGACATCCATGCTGGTTCAATCAAGGACAGTAACTTGACTTCGTTGTCACTTGTTTGCCTCAAGTCACCAAAAGTATAGTGAAAGTAGCACAAACATACAAAGTACAGACCTTTTCACATTAGACATTTTGTAACGCAAAAGTAGGAAAGCACAAGTCATTAAAGGAATTATGGCAGAATTTTAGGTGGTTTCTAGTTTCTGGGTTCTGGTATTACAATTGCTTGCTGGCTTACTGGGACACTCGAACAGAACTGATGCATTATTGATGTTATCAGCAACATCTGTGTTGTGTTGTGTTTTGGTTTTTTTTCCTGCTATGATAGTTTAAAATATCTGCAGTGAAAATGTCCTATAACTAGTGAGAACACAAGCTATGTTCATTCATTGAATGACAAATGGAACAACTTCAGTTATCTCTACACAGCTGCCAGTATGTCTAATTTTTTAATGACAAAATAAAGTCACAGTCATTGTTATTCCAATATCTTCTCATCGGGGTGCGTCATGGGAAAATGACATTTAATTCAGGATGCCTGGAGATAGTCCCTGTCAAGCAGGACCCTAGGAGGGTTGTTTTTAAATGGCTCTGTAGTTTTAATAGCACTGGCGTCTGCTCCTTTCAGGAAGACAGTTGTATATCAGTGCAATTACTCGGTTATTTTTGTGCAATCTTGCTCTTAATGGGCAGGTGCAGAGGCTCTGGTACAGATGCCACCATTTTATGACCAATTAGGACAGTATGGGCTGGCTTTTGTTGTGCCTCGTGGGCTTTTACTGGCTGCACTTGATATACACACTTTGATTAATATGCAGAATGTAGTTTTAAAAATAAACATTCACACCAAGAAATCCTTTAGTGTTGAAACACAAATATTCACACAGGATTGTCATTTCTTAGATAATCCTACATATGCTGAAAGACTGGGTTAGACTTTCAGAAACAGTCCTCTGGTGGCTTAAATCATACTGAGATATGTGATATTTAACAACTATTGATGTTTATGATTCTGAAAAAACTTCCATGATATATGGAGTCCCACAAGGATTGGTTCTTAGCCCCCTGCTATTCAGATTTTTCAAGACTTGCTCATCGTTGGTATGGAGATAACACCCAGATCTATCAAGTGTTCTTGCTTTGTCTTGAGGACGTAAAAGATTGGATGCAACAAAGCTTCTCTAAACTTACCTGAAGCTCCAGGGCATTAATAACTAACCCTCAGGTCACAAATCTCAGTGTAATCATTCATCATGGTCTAGATTTTAGCTGCCATATTGAAGCTATAACTAAACCTTCGTTCTGGCATCTTTGAATGTTAAATTGTCAGTGTAAAAATTCATATTTTTGGGATTTGCAGAGTGAACTACGGTTATGCATTCATTCCTAATAAAACCATTAGACTACAATGCTGCTGCTAGAATAATGACGAACACCAAGAAGAGAGAACACATGAATCCAATTCTTAGAGCTCTGCACTAGCTTCCAGTTAAAAGCAGAACAGAATCTTAAGCCCTACTAAATATCTATAAGTCTCTGAATGGTCTGGGCTCAAAATATATCGTAGATATGTTTGCTGGGTACAAGCGTAATAGGTCTCTCAGGTCAGTCAGTACTGCCCAGAGTTCAGATCAGACTGAGTCAAATGGCGTTTAGTCGATATGCTGCCCACTGCTGGAATCAGCTCCCCTTGGAATTGAGATGTGCATCTGCTGTATCCATTTTAAGAAGCAAGCTAAGAGCTGTTCTGTTTTTTCCACTGCTGTTAATTAATCAGTTTTATTTTTAAAACGCCAACTGTGGGTATTTTTTTAGAACCTGTCTGCATTTTTATACACATAGTTTAAATTTTTCTTTTTCATGATATTGTTTTTCTTGTTTTTGGGTTTTTTTTTTTAGCTGTTTCAGTTGTTGTCTTTGATTAGTCTAAAACATATGTGTGCACTTTGTTTAACTTGTCATAACTTTTT